GGCCCAGACAAGAGCTTCCTCCAGCTGACCCCACCCACTTCCCCCAGAACATTCCACACTGAGCCAGGAGCACCAGGAAGAGGCCAAGGGGTCCGGCTGGGAAAGATGGGTACCTCCCTCCCAGGTCACCTCTGACCTGCCCCCCTGCTCAGCTCCCACTGCCTCCCCACAGAGAGACCAAAGCTGGGCCCCTGCACCGCAGACCCGCCTCTCTCCAGTGTCTCCAGGCTGCTACTAGAGCCAGCGGGAGGCAGGCTGGGTAGCTGGGCTGCTGATCCTCAGCCATGGCCCTAGTTTGGCCTCTTACACTCTTTCCTTTGACCCCTGGCTGGTCATCCTGCTTCTCGTCTGGGGACCCACTACAAATAAATGAGTCAGTTCAGATACCACTCCCCTCCTCAAGCGCCTTCCATGGCTCCCACTGCCCCTGAATTAAGTTCAGAGTCCATACCCTGAGATTCATGGTCTTCCACAGATAGTCCAAACCCACCCTCCAGTCCCCCCAGGACTCACAGGTTGGAGCCAAAATGGATTATCCCAAGATTTGCACACATATTTCTGAGTCTGTGAATAGGAATTCACCTCTCCCATCTCCACCTAGCTGGATCCTGCGCCTCCCCCACTCCACCTGACTCTCCCATGAGCCCTCTCCTTTCCTCGTCTCTGAATCCCTCCACTTCAGGTAAGGCTATCCCCACATTTCAGGTAAGGCCATGCCGCCTGCCACCCCCACATGGCCTCCGCACTGTTCTTTACTTACTATTTCCCTTGTAACCAACTCCCTCTTTTACTTAAATTTATTTTCAAAGGAAAACTTATATCTCCACCATAAATAGAAAACCATATCATCTCCCATTCCACCTAGCTGGATCCTGCGCCTCCCCCACTCCACCTGACTCTCCCACAAGCCCTCTCCTTTCCTCGTCTCTGAATCCCTCCACCACGCTGTCCCCACACTTCAGCTAAGGCCATGCCACCTGCCACCCCCACATGGCCTCCGCACTGTTCTTTACTTACTATTTCCCTTGTAACCAACTCCCTCTTTTACTTAAATTTATTTTCAAAGGAAAACTTATATCTCCACCATAAATAGAAAACCATATCATCTCCCATAGACAGAAGGCAAATGAAGAACAGAGTTATGTTCAAATATACAGGAAAATAAACACAATCATTAAAATGTTTTAAATGCTTCTATTTGTAATATACTTAATATTGCTGTACAATGTACTTCAAATCCTCTCACACTCTAAGAAATACTGCCTTGCGCTTTATGTTTGCCTCCTCCTGGCCCTTGTTTGTCTGGCCCTGTCTCACAGTTACCTGGGGACTTGTCGCGGTTTTGTCCTGGTTGATCCCCAATAGCACTTGGGGGCACAGATCCTGCAGCCCCTCTTCCAGTGCCTACACATAGCATGACACGCAATAAAAATATTTATGGAACAGAATGTTCCAATTTACTCAGTCATATTAACATGGTCCCATTCTCTGCTGGGCCCTAAGCCCATCTGATGTCCAACTTCTTACCAAAATGCTATACACGCCCTCCGCGCGCTACCCCCAAATCAACCCCTGACCACGGGGGTCTCTTGGAGCATGACACAGGAAGTGTAGCAACTGTCATGGAGGTGCCTGGGACGGACGCTCCCAGATCTTCTGGACCCCTGCTGCCTCTTCCTCTGAAGCAGCAGGACCCGACAACCAGGAAAAGCAAGCCTCCAGTCAACCATTAACCAACACTCCCCCAGCAGGCACACACCCTCCCGGGAGCTAGCAAAGTTCTGGGAAAACCCTGTATGAACTGGGCCCCTGGCTCCAGGAAAGACAAGTCACCTTCCTGTCTCCTCGGGGCCAGAGATCCCAAAACACCTACCAGGAACAGAGGAGGGCTTCTCCCGGGCCTGACCTGCTGGTGCCCCAGCCGGGAGGAGGAGGAGGCGGTCCCTCCCTCCCACCACACAGCTGTCAGGGGCGACCCTGATGAAGATCTGAATCACTCAGACTTAAGTCAATAAAGTGGCAGCCACCGGGGAAGGCCCAGCTGGAGCCAAACCAAGGCCTGGATTCTCCTGGGTGGACGGAAGCCTGGCCACGGCCCATGTGCTGGTGACCGAGTCCCCTGCCTGCGCAGTCTTCTAACAGGGAACAGACACGGGATATTTCCTATCAGAGGGAGGGCTCTGTTGGGGGCGTTTGCATTCTTTTTGGTGTTACTATTTTTTAGTCTGGCCACTTTTAAGACATTCAAGGATTTTTTTGTTAGGGTACATTGCATGGAAAGTCTCCACAATATTTATTCCCAGCGGACATGCACGGGGTGGCAGCATCTCATCACTGCCCTGAAGCCCCAGTGGCCGGGGGTGGGACACCGACCCAATTAGTCAGGTGTGGCTCCCCAGGAAGAAGGTAAACTGAGGCACGGATAATGTGACCAATGTCGTAAGCAGAACCTCCCAAATGCAGCTTAAGGGGGACAAGGGTGATGAAGCGAGCCTGTGCGGAGCTGGGGAGGGCCTGCTCCCCGACACCTGCCTAGAGTGAGAAGGAAGAGGACAAGGGTCTCCATGCTGACCTCATAGTGCAAACAAGCTAATGACGGAAAAAATGTTGTAGTGATTAAAAAAAACAAACCAAAAAACAAAAACCCCACCACATCCGGCAATCTGTCCCCCATGGAGAACAAAAGCAGGTGCTACTGAGAGGGACAGATCGACACTCCTCCTCGATGTGAATGGGGCTGAAGTCGACCCATTAGAACATCCCCGCCCTCTGGGCACAGTGACTGGCTGAGGGCTGAGCATGTGACGCAGGCCCAGCAGTACAGAGTCCTCCCTAGGCTCTCACCACAGTTACTGGAAAATGCCCTCTTTCCCTGTGAGAACCACGTTGGCTTGGGATGGCCAACGGCCACCTTGCCGTCACTTGGAAACAGCCTGCAAATGAAGCCAAGCGGAGCGGAGGGATGGAGGGGCATAATCCCGATGGCACTGCCAATTGCTGGATCCAGCCGTCCCTGAGCCACTACGTTGACTCCCAAGAGCATGTCCGTTTTGCTTATGTTGGTTTGAGTGGGATCTTTGGGATTTATAATCAAGGGTCCTAAGTAAGTCAGCTGTTCAGAAATGGGGAGGAGTAGGAATGCACCACGCAGTGAGCCTGGCTTTTGTTCTTTTCTTTTTTAATCCTCACCCGAGGACATGCTTAGAGAGAGGAAGGGAGAGAGAAACATCGATGTGAGAGGGAAACATACACCGGCTGCCTTCTGCATGCTCCCTGGCTGGGGACCAAACCAGCAACCCAGGTATGTGCCCTGACCAGGAATCGAGTCCAGGGGGCAAAGGCCGTGTGCTCTCCCCGGGCCGGCTCCCACCCCTCCGGGGCCACTCAGCTCTCCCCCTGCCTGCCTGGGCCCCTCTCACCCATCCCTGCTCCACTCACAAATCTGCTGCCTCTCCCTCTGCTGCCCAAATCAAGCCCGTGGGCCAAGCTCCCACCTTTCCTGGTGCAGCTGCTCCTGCACCCAGCCCCAGCCCTAAGGGCACCCCAAGTCATACTGTCTTCTCTCACCTCCAGCCCCGCCACGCTGCTTCTGCTCCTGCCCCCCACCCCCGGCCCCAGATGTCCCTCACCTCCACTTCACCCTTCCAGACCCCCAAAGGGTGCTGTGCCATGAAGCCCCGATCTCCCCTTCCCTCTGGAAGCAGCGCCTCCTCCTCCGAAGCCCCCTCGCTCCCCACCTGTCCCCTCCCTTCGGCTCTGAGCATTTGCCGCCCTGTGTTACGTTTATGTCTTTATCTTCTACTGGGCAGTCTGCATCTGCTCCATCTTCATGCCCTGTTTATCCTTTCATTCATTCATTCATTCATTCATTCATTCCACAAACAGGCATTGAGCACCGATGACGTGCTGGACCCCGGGCGAGGACTGAGGACACCATGAGGAGCACGCCAGGCACTGTCCCTGCCACCCTGGAACCCACATCCTGGGAGGGGGAACCCTAAACAAACAAACATAAGTAACTGCACCAGTACAGGCTGTGATACCGGCTGCAGAGGAAGGAGCGGGGACAGGACGTGGGCGTTCTGATGTGGAGGGAGAGGCGGGGAGGGCGACTCTGAGGAAGTCAAGTTAAACTGGGACCGGAGAGCTGAGCAGACTGGGTCAGGCGCCCCTTCTCGCTAAGTATCTGCGGGCAAGCAGGGGACTGTGAGGGGTCAGACGCCCCCCGTGTGTCCCATGTCTCTGCAAACTTACCCCCTCATCACCCTGACAGGTCACTCCAACTGGCACCTCGGCTGGGCGAGGGGCGGGGGTTCCCAGCAAACACACCTCTGAGGGTCAACAGGACATTCCACGATGCCACCCTGCAGAGGTGGCCTGCGCATGACTCCCAGTATGGCACCACCCCCAGTACTGAAAGGGCAAGGGGGCTTCGTCCTGCGTGCCGACTCCAAATCATGGCCATGGCTGCCTGGCACACCACGCTGGCACTGTGCGGCCTCCGGGCCTCCGTGGGAACCGGCCGTGAGTGATCCGTGGGGTCCACGCAGGAGCGGGAGCGGGAGCGGGAGCGGGAGCGGCGGCATATGTGCCACATATTTCCTCCCTCTCGGGGCCCCGCACAATGACCACCCAGGCAAGAAATTTCCTGCCGATTAATTGCCTGGAAAAGCACTGGGCCTCTGGCATCCTGTGCATTACGGGCCCCATGAACCGTGCACATAATATTTTTTTTTCCTGCTTGGATTGCTAATTAGCTCAGAGCTACATCTGTGGTTCAAATAGAGAAACGGCTCTGCGGCCTGAGGATGTGTCTAACTCTCGCCCCGACTCTGACCTTCTAGTTCATCTGCATTTTTCCTCATCTTACTTTTATGGGTTTCTCTGTAATGACATACACATAGACATAGGCAAACACATATAAAATAGCTACGTCTGGCTCTGGCATATAGTACCTATTTTACCTTCTTTTTATAAAGACATATTTCTGTATTTCTTACATGTCCAAGCAATAGACAGCTCTTCTGTGGGTCTCTTGCCTCCTCTACGGAACAAGGTGAGGGAATTAATGATGAGACGGATGGATGACAGACAGGAAAATCCAGGAAAAAGGAGACCGTCTCTGCCGGAAAGAATGCAGACCCTCACGGCGCTCGGCGTGAATAGCGTCTGGGATTAGCGATCGGAAGCCCGGCTTTCAGCCCCAGCTCTGACCAGCTACGTGACTGTGAGGGGGAAACATTACTCACGCACACCCCTCCCCACGGCCAGGCAGCCTGAGGTTTCATCAAGTATCCAATGCACTCGCAGCGATCTGCCCCACTCGCTTACTCGGTTGTAACCGAATGGAACAGAGAGGTAGTGACTGCTCATCGGTGGTGAGGCGCCAGCGACGTGCCCGCCACCCGCTGGGCTCTCCTTGGTCCTGGGAGCAGCGTGCTGGGCAAGCACATGGCTGCCCCCAAGAAGCCACCAAGCCACACGGCCTCCCACACACGCTGCAGGGATTCAAAGAGAAATGAGCCTTCCGAGGCCATATCTGCATTCGGCCTTCTTCCTCGTCCCCCGCTCTGATGTCTGAGAGCACTGTGACCGACGGGCTTCAATTTCCTGCTTCTCACAGCAAGAGAAAGGGCCCCATCCCGGATCAATCACACTGCTCAGGACTGGAAGTGGCTGCCCCTGCAGAGAGGGCCGGGGGTTCCTGGCCCACCCCTCCCATCCCCCCACTATCACCCGGCAGTCTCCTTCCTGACCACAGTGTCCCCTGCAGGAAAACAGAGCACACAGCACGCATTACCTGCAGACCAGCTGAGAGAGAACGTGCTGCGGTGGACACAGTGGGGCTCTGTGAGGTCCCTGGCAGCCGACCCTCCCTCATGCCTCCCACCGGGACTTCTCAGACGCCGCCCCTCCTGTCCCCAATCAGAGGCCCATTTATTCCACGATCCCCAGGGTTTCCAGGCACCTGAATCAGCACCACTGAGTTTCACACAGCAGGTGAGAATGAGACAATGACAATAACCGGGGTCCTTTTCAACAAGTTTTTCAGCCGAGCATGGGAACTCACAGAGCTCACAGCCGCAGCGAGACTAATTCTACATCCCAGACTGTCCCCTGCCCAGTCAGGGTTGAAAGTGGAGGCGACAGGGGAGGGGGATGGACAGAGGGCTGTGTTTGTTCAAGTGACAAAATAAGGCCTCGCCCTAACCGGTTTGGCTCAGTGGATGGAGCGTCGGCCTGCGGACTGAGGGGTCCCAGGTTCGATTCCGGTCAAGAGCATGTACCTTGGTTGCGGGCACATCTCCAGTGGGGGGTGTGCAGGAGGCAGCTGGTTGATGTTTCTCTCTCATCGATGTTTCTAACTCTCTATCCCTCTCCCTTCCTCTCTGTAAAAAATCAATAAAATATATTTAAAAAAAAAAATAAGGCCTCATGTAGTCTACCCCCCAGCGAAGACGGACCCCAGGAGGTGAGTTACCAAAGTGGGGGAGGGCCCTGGCTGGTTTGGTTCAGTGGACAGAGCGTTGGCCTGTGGACCAAAGGGTCCCGGGTTCGATTCTGGTCAAGGACATGTACCTCTCTGGCCCAGGCCCTGGTTGGAGTGCATGCAGGAGGCAAACAATCGATGTGTTTCTCTCACATCGATGTTTCTCTCTGTCTTTCCCTCTCTCTTCCCCTCTCCCTAAAAACCAATGGAAAAATATCCTCGGGTGAGGATTAACCACAACAACAAGGGAAAACAAGTGGGGGAGGGACTTCGACATAAGGTAACTGGTCGCCCATCTGCTGTCCCCTCTTCTCCTGGCCGTGCTGTGGCTGCTCCGTTGCCCAGAAGCCCCGAGTTCATACTGTGACCAGCCCCCCCTGGGCCCAGCTGACTGTGCTGGGGGTGCACCCGGCCCAAGCTGGCATGCCGAGGTCTCTCCCTTCACAATCTGGGAAAGGGGCTCGACTCAAGTGCTCTCTGGCACAGTTGGATGCAAACTGAGGAGCTGATGGAGGGGCAGCTTCCCCACTCGGAAATGCCATGAAAATGAAAGGTGGTCTCTGTGAGAGGAAGAAGAGGGGGAGCCAAAAGGGACTAAAGCAAAGGCCAGGCAGCGAGAGGGCTCAGGGGTTTCCCCCTGGTCCATGTGCTGAATTCAGCCCTTCCAGGGGCCTGGGCTTCTTCGAGATACTTCGTGTCGCGAGATACTTCGTGTCCCGGCAATAAATTCCCATTTTTGTTCAATTTCTTTCCATAAGGCAAGAACCAGGCCTGCCTTGTTCAGCACTCTATCCCCAGAGGCAGCATATGCCGGGCACACAGTAGCCTTTAAAAAAAGACTTACTGAGCGAATGAGTAACGCTCAGCCTAAGGCAGGCTGAATTACTGGTGTCGATTCTTCACCCCTCGTAACAACATGAGATAGCCACGCTCTGGCACGGCCTCATGGTGGGCAGTGGACTTCCCTGCCCCTTGGCTTGAGAATGGTCGCATGGCTTGCATTGGCCAAGGGGATGCTAATGGATATGATGTGAGCAAAGGTTTGAAATGGGCTTGTGTGCAACTGAGCTTGCTCTCTTGCACTCCTGCCTGTCACCATGACGCACATGTGCCTTGGTGGTCACCGGTCCAGTGGGATAACCGGTACATGGAACAGACCTAAACCCAACTTATAGCTTGAAACCAACCAAGTCCCACTGCCAGCAGCCTAAGTCAGCCAAACGTCACCCAACCCACAGGTATGTGTGGGCAGATTAAATGCTATTGCCATATGCCAATGGGTTTGGGGTGGCTTGTTATGAAGCAGTATTGTGGCAATAGATGACGGAGACGTATGTCCTGGCAACTTTGAAGAATGCGACAAGTCCTGGGGTAGGTCTTACATCTTGTCCTCCATATGGCCCACAGCTGAGTCCACAATGATTCTATGGATAGATCCACACCCCTCCTCCAGACTATGAGATAAACTTCCCAGAATTCTACAGTCCCACAGCTAGCCTCCTGGAGCAGTCCAAAGCGTATTAAGCACTTACACAGTGCCAAGCGCACAGTAGGTACTTGATGAGAGTTAGTTTTTGTCTTCCTCTCCCCACCCTCTCACCAATTCCATCACTAGGCCCCTGAAAGCACATCTTCAAAGGCAGAAAAACCTTTAGCTTTTTTCTTTGCAGAGGCTAGGGAGGAGGGTGCACCCTAACCCACCCTGGGGACTCCCCCTCCTTACTGCCTCCACTAATCCCCCAAACTCAGGTACCGAGGAGGGGACAGGGACACAGGCAGGCAGAGCACGCCGCCTTACATTGTAACTATGATTCAGTGTGTGATCTACATTATATTTTATTCATTCAAAATTTATAACTGTCTGTTTCAAGGAGAGCTTGAGGCAGCGTAGGGGCTGAAAGTAATAAAAAATAAACAACTTAAGGATCAAAGAGAATAGAGGCCAGGCAGAAAGCAGGAAGAGGAGATGTCACCATAAATCTGATGATTAAACTGAGCAACACATCTGACTCTCAGCTTCCCAGCAGCCGCAGACACAAGGCAACTACGTGGGATACAGAGTCAACATAAAAGCAAAGCAGCGGCCCTCACGTCGGCGTGTGAGCCCCACTCACACGGAGCTCCAAGCCAAAGGGTCAGGCCAACTAGGAGGATCGCAATCCTAACAGTAATAACCACATCCACGCGGCAAGCGCTGCTCTACACGCTTTGCCCAAGACTTCTCACTGACACAGATACTAGCATTCCATCCATTCTACAGATGAGAAAACGGAGGCCCGCCGAGTGGGGAAATGGTGGAGCCAGGATGAAGATCTGCAAGTCTGAACCCAGAGTTCATGCCCTTAACCACGAAGCCACCCAGCTTCTGCTTTGTTCATGCTGGACCCA